TGGCTGCCCAGCAGCTGTCTGATTAGGTTAGGGTTAAGCCCCAGTGTCTACTTGCCACTGGGGGGAATTCACTTTGTGATTTGCCTTTGGATCGGACTTCGCAAGGTCCGTCAAGTTGAGACGCAACAGTCCTTCCCCCATAACTACATTGAATTCTAGACTGTCATTTGAGGGGGTGCAAAGATGTATTGATAGCGCAAATACACAGGAAATCAACCTGCAAATCTAACAGCATTGAATCATATTATCAATAAAGCTGGGAGTTTTAAGTCATTAGATTGTTGGCATCATCCCCCAAACTTAACAAGGTTTCGAGGTTTCGATCTCCGGAGAATTGACATCGTGACTACTACACTAGTGTAATTCACACAGTGCTATGGAGGAGACCTTATGTATTCACTTCCTCATCCACAATCATCTAACACAAAGCACATCTTCCTACGCCCGACCGAAATTATGCCACACATCACCAACTTCTACGTAGTATATATATTATTTTACCCACTGAACACAGCCCCAATCCCAATTTCATTGTGTTGTAAGTCATGTACTTGATTTGGGGGTGCGGGCAGGGGGCTTTATTGTGACGTATTAATTTGGTGCTTTGACATAAATTCACAGAATATTTGCGTTTGTGTGAATAGTAGTTTCGTAGTCCTAACTTGATACTATCACTAAGCCCTTCGTCGACGACTACATTTAATCCAACACTGAATTCAGAATCACACAAATTCAATTTACACCGAACTCAAAGAACCCACTCAAGAGTTTCGCAAGCACTTCCACATTGATTGAATTGTAACCCCATTGCTGCCTTACATAGTGTAAGCGATGTCAAATCCGATTCTTCCCATAAAAAAGTATTCTACTTAACGATATCACCGGTACCCCGACAACCAACTGAAGTCTACGCGTAGCTCACTGAAAATTGGATGCAAACGTTGGTGGGGGCAAGCAGTTACTTGTATATAGATTAATGCTCCGAAGAACTTCGACGCATAACGTTAGAGGCTTAACAGTAAAACGAGAGCATCCATCCGACAACGCTATGGAGCTGGAGACACAAGCAACGCCAACTCACATTGCTCATTGATATTAGAGAGGTTTTGCAAGTGTCCGTTCGCGGTCGCGTTCTTCTCCGAACCATGCTTTTTGTGTCAAATGCAGTTCGAACGGAATATCAAAATTGGTGTCTCTGCTCACAAATATCCGTATAAGTAAATATTATTCGGATACTGGGAAATCACTTTGCCCAGCGACATATGTCCGAGAAACTTGAAATCCCATATTTCATGGTTTTTGCTGGACAACACCCACCCCTACTACCACCACTTGCATTCCAACATTAGCCGCTGCCCCCATCACTGTACCAAGCACCACTACCACGACGGCAGCCCCTGCGACTGCTACAGTTGCACCCGGTACCACCAAATATTGATGATTTGAAGTAAATAGGTGATCGAAAGGGATCACCCTGTCATTATATATGAACTCATCGAACTAAAAGAAAAGAGGTGTTGTGATTGCGATTGACAAGTAAATGCTCGTGTGACCTGGCCTAACATTGACCTCGAAAGAGTTGCAACAACTAGAAGATGTGCAACAACTATCGTTAGCCCGACGTTAGCTGCATTAGTTGGCATATTGCACTTACTGCGTCTATGCCGACTTTGCTCGTGCGTGGCGGTCGTGTTCATTGGACTCCATGGCCGCTTTCGTCGCTGCATCCCAAGCGAGACATCCTGTGACGATATCTGGCATGGGGGGAGATTTCTGCGTGCCGTCTAGCCCAAGTTGAGCCAACACTTGTGCCAATCCGACCGTGCGGCGGTGAGAGTCCTTGATGATCACTCGCGTAATACCTAGCCGGACGAGATGACTACTGTAGTATTACACTCCTTGTACGAACCTTCGGCGAAGAACGTGCCAGTGCCAGGACAGTCAAAGCGATGGGAAAAGAAGAACCACGTGTCGTCCCAATACACCACTTGGGAATGAATGGCATAGGCTGTCAGTGGCGGAATCTCCCGACGGTACCAGACACATGAAAAATAAAAATCAAGAATACAAACTTGAAGATATATTTCATTGAAACTATACAATTTCAGAATTATTTTTGGAATTCGCAATTGGTTCACCTTGCTCTTCAAACAAAATTACCTATTTCATCGTGCTTTTTCTTGTTAAGGGCCTGGTCTGTGAAAAATCGTTCCTGCTTTCAGCCATTCCTGCTTTGTACGGATAAATTTTATTCGGATAGTGCCCGATTACCTGGTCTGGGAAGCCATTCCTGCTTTTGGTGTTCCTGCTTTGAATGGTTGCGAGTGCCATGGATGGTTTGAGAGGTATTGTTACCGCAGTTGCCGCGGTTGTGTGTGCTGTATACATTTCTTTAGCTACCAGCTCGACCTCTTCGAAGTACAACATTCTGACTAACGTAAACGGCCAATTGTTGCCCTCATTTCGACCCCTTAGCTTTTTGGCCTAATCTCGTAGGCTAAGCAAAATTACAAAAATCTGAAGTTATCCAGTTGTAGAGGAA